TGGCGTACCCTTCGAGACGATCAACCTCACGACCCTCTACTCGCACCGCGACGTCTTCGAAGACATCTTCGCCGAAGCACACCAGATATACCAGCAGTCGCAGGAGGGCAAGACTGTCATATACAACTCCATGGGCACCATGTGGCAGCCCTTCGGCGACGCCAAGCGAAAGCGACCTCTCGATTCGGTGGTCCTTGAGCGCGGCGTCAAGGAACGCATTGTAGAGGATATGGAGGCTTTCATCGCATCACGCAAGTGGTACCTAGATCGCGGCATACCATACAGGCGAGGCTACTTGTTGTATGGGCCGCCGGGTACGGGAAAGAGCTCCTTCATCCAGGCTGTTGCAGGCCATCTTGACTTCAATATTGCCATTTTGAATGTCAGCGAGCGTGGGCTCACAGACGATAGGTTGAACCATCTGCTGACCAAGGTCCCGCGACGTACTGTAGTGCTGCTGGAAGATGTTGACGTCGCATTCATGAACCGTAAGACGCCTGGTGCAGACGGATTTGCTAGCGCCTCGGTCACCTTCTCCGGGCTGCTCAACGCTCTCGACGGTGTTGCCAGTGCTGAGGAGCGGATCATCTTCCTGACTACAAACCACGTCGAAAGACTAGACGAAGCGCTCATCCGACCTGGGCGCGTGGACATGACGGTAAGACTCGGTGAAGCAACAGAGTTTCAAATCGAGCAGCTTTGGGACCGATTCTATGCAGAGTTCGATGCAGGCGGGCAAGCGAAGCAGAGATTTATGGCTAGAGTGAGGGAGTTGGGCCTCATCGACTCGGTGAGTACTGCAGCGCTACAGGGGTTGTTCCTCTACAACAAGGACGACACCGAGGGCGCTATTGCGATGGTTGAGGGCCTCACCGCTGGTCGCAAAGCCGAAAACCACGTGGGAATAGCCGGTCACGTTGACGTGAACGAAGTGACGTCACGCTGAGCGTTGGGAACCCGTAGAAATATGTAAAACTCCGAATGCAAACGCTGCGGCTCTGTTCGCTCGGACGTGCAGATGTCAATCAGTCTTGGACTGTAAGGGTGCCGGGATTTTGGAGCATGCAGGTGTGTGATGGTATGCAGGCGGCTCGCGCGCGCGGGAGCGTGCGAGGCTTTTTTCCTGGGAACTCCACATCGTCGCCCGGATCTAACCGCTTACCGTGAAGACACTGCACTCGCTATTGGATGACTCAAGGCATATTCCATCATTGACCTAATTCTGGACCGCTTCCCGCGCTTCCATCTAATCAGATCATCGAAAAGCGTGAGGCCCAACACATGGAGGCCGGTGGATTTATCTGATCATCTGATTCCGACGTCGCGCGAGGCCGCTTTGGCGCGACAAACGGAGCACTTGTACACGCGCCCCTGGCCACACCCGGGCTCCCACCCATACATATGGCTAACGAGGACGGGTGCGGGTCATCTTCGTCGCTTGCTCTCTCGCCTGCCCATCCTTCTGGAAACACGCGACACGACCGTCCTCCCGTCTCGCCAGGCAGCTACGAGTTGCAGCCTCTGCCTGACAAAGCAAAGAAAGCAAGGAACATAGCCACGTCCGAAACCCCTTCTGATGACGATCTTGATTCGCCAGCTGGCCGCCCCGAGACTCCTACACGATCCGTCAAGACAGCAATGTCAAGAGTACCTCTCTTGGTGAGATCGAGCCCGGCGCAGGGAACAGGTACGCAAACTATTCTTTGTTGTCAAGCGCCATGGTCGTCATTCGCCCCTCGGCCTTGGACGGGTGCACAGGAGCAACGATGCACACGGCGCACTGAACCTCATTCGCTACACGTGCTGACCCCAACTTCAGGTTCATATGGCGGCCTACCTATTCTTTCTTCCAGTCCAGAGGAGTCTGATGAAAATAATGTGATTAAAAACTCAAGAAAGAAAAAAGGCAAGAGCAGACTTTCGCATAGTGAACCTTCACTACTTTCGGATCACCACCAAAATGATTCGACACGCAGTGAGCCAATCCTTTCAGGCGCTACCAAGTCACGACGCAGGACGGGTGACGCCAGTCGTAGCAGCACGACGCTCGGTGTAGCCTCTAGTGGCCAGGACTTTGAAGCTAGGTTCAACGCAAGCGGTCTTGATCCTTCTACCGCCGGCGCGCCACTGTTTGACAACTCAACCTCATCGAGCAGTACGCTAGACGATAATGAATCCTCCGAGGACGACGATTTACACGATATGAAGGGTAGCCCGTCCGATAATTCGCCCTACGCTCAAGTGAGGGCATCCGTCGCTGCTACCGACGACCTTTCCCTGTCCATTGATACCCCGCGCATGTGGTTCCTATCGATTCTGTTTTCTATCGCCGGTTCTTCAACCAACTTGTTCTTTTCCCTACGATACCCTAGCGTCAGCCTTACTCCTATTATTGCACTACTACTCGTCCACCCTCTCGGTCTGCTTTGGGACCAACTCTTCAAACGACACGACGATCCTGAAGAAACCTTCGTCGATGGTTGCTCTCAAACAGCATCGCATCCTCCACAGGCAAAAGCCACTTGGAAACGCCGGATACGGCTCTGGCTAGGCCAAGGCCGTTGGAATGAAAAGGAACACTGCTGCGTATACGTCAGCAGCAATGTATCCTTCGGCTTTGCCTTTGCGACAGATGTAAGTATCATCTATGCATCGATGTACGGTATGCTGACGACCCAAGGTCATCGTTGAGCAAGTCAAGTTCTACAAGCAAGACCTTGGCATCATGTACCAAATATTGCTCATCCTCTCCACACAAATACTTGGCTACTCCCTTGCCGGTATCACCAGACGTTACCTGGTCCGACCCAGCGGCATGATCTGGCCGAGCACACTGGTATCAACCGCCATGTTCACCGCACTACATAAAGATGAAAACAAGCCTGCCGATGGCTGGACCATTGCTCCACGCAAGTTCTTCTCGCGCATATTCATGGGATCCGTTGCGTTCTACTTCCTACCTGGTCTCCTATTCCCAGCATTGAGTTATTTCAATGTAATCACTTGGTTCGCGCCAAAGAGCGTTGTTGTTGCCAACCTGGTACGTTTGTTGCTTTCCGAGTAGACAGTGTGTTAATCTGAGCAGTTCGGAATCTCATCTGGTCTTGGATTATTCCCAGTGACTTTCGATTGGGCGCAAATCGCATACATCGGCTCCCCGTTGATTACACCATTCTGGGCTGCTATGAACATTCTCGGAGGTCTTGTAGGCGTGATGTGGATTGCAGCGCCGATCATGTGTAAGTAGTTCGAAGAGGTGAGGATACTAGTGCTAACAAAATGCAGACTACAAAAACGTCCTCTACTCTTCCTACATGCCCATCCTATCATCCGCCGTATGGGATAATCGTGGCAAGCCGTACGACGTCAGCAAGATCTTGACCGACAACTTCCTCTTTGACGAAGAAGCGTACAAGCAATACAGCCGCGTCTACCTCCCGATTACTTACGTGTTGAGCTACGCCTTGCAGTTCGCCGGTCTTACAGCTCTGCTTTCGCACACTGGCCTTTGGTACGGAAAGGACATCTGGAGGCAATGGCGTCGCTCCTGGGCCGAGATCCGAAAAGAATCAGCAGCTGACTACCAGCCACTTGTGAATGGCACCGACAACAATAGCCACCCATCCTCGCCTGCAATGTTGCGACACAGGCCCAGCACGACATCAGACCCAGACGTGGAAGATTTGCTATCTGCAGAAGATGTGCACAACCGACTCATGCGCAAATACGAGGACGTGCCGATAACTTGGTACCTTTTGACTGGGATCAGTATGGCTGCAGTTGGCATGTTCGTCGTCGAGTACTACCCTGTCCATCTACCCTGGTACGGTCTCTTGCTAGCACTTGGCATCGGCGCAGTCCTCTTCGTCCCCATCGGCATCGTCATGGCCATCACAAACCAACAAAGCAGCATCTACCTCATCTGCCAACTCATCTGCGGTGTTGTATTCCCCGGCCGACCCGTCGCAAACATGGTCTTTACAACCTTCGGCTACATCTCAGCAACCCAAGGCCTAAAGTTTGCTTCCGATCTCAAGCTCGGTCACTACATGAAGATCCCACCTAGAATCCTCTTCAAGCTCCAACTCTCCGTCACCATCATCTCCAGCTTAACTCAGATCGGCGTTCTCAATTGGATGCTGAACAACATCCCTGGTATCTGTACACCCTCAGCCATCAACGGCTTCAACTGTCCCATCGCCCGCGTCCACTTCAACGGAAGTATTCTCTGGGGTGTCGTCGGACCAGGGAAGTTCTTCGGCCCCGGCGCACTCTACCAACACTTGATCTGGGCCTTCCCCATCGGCGCCATCGCCCCCGTCATACTGTGGTATCTCGCACGCGGCAGCCGCAAGTCCATTCTCAGTAAAGTCAACCTCGCCGTCGTGTTCGGTAGCTTGAGTTGGATTCCACCGGCTACCGGACTCAACTTCTCCGTTTGGGCGATTGTGTGTTATATCTTCAACTACGAGATTCGCAACCGGAGGAACGCGTGGTGGAAGAAGTACAACATGATGCTTAGCGCGGCCTTGGACTCTGGCCTTGCGTTTGGTGTTGTGGTCATCTTCTTTGGCATTGTGTACCCGGGCTGGATGAGTAACTTCAAGTGGTGGGGTACGGAGGTTTACAAACAGGTAAGTCAGCCACATACAAGCCGGCTTCATTGGATACAAAAGCTAACACTATTTCCAGGGGTGTGACTGGCAAGCCTGCCCGTACAAAGAGGTACCCAAAGGCGAGACCTTTGGACCTGGGAGTTGGTGATTCGTTGATTACTCGCATTGGCATATGCATTAGACGACCGGCGTTCACGAGTGGAGTTTGGGATAGACATGCTGTTGGATACACCACGTTGATCGTTTGAGCGGATTGGATACGCTCGCGACTTGCATGTTATTTTTAGGTACTGTTATTGGATACAATGAATCTCATTGCTACCATCTCTTGATGTTCTCGATGAGATTGAACGCTAGATAGGCTCGGCGATAACTCCAGCAACTTCAAACAGCGAGCTCTCCAGCGGCTTGCACAAGGAAATGATCAAGCCGTGAAGTAATTTGCTCCAACGTGGGAGCATCTTCTCCAACTACCTGTTGTGCACCGATAGAAATAAGCCACGGGCGATTGCGTGCCTCCGACTCCAAATCATCGAGCTCTTCTAAAGCCACAATAAAACCCGCTCTTTTCAGTTCGAAGGCTTCGCCGTCAAATGTCCCTGAGCCCCATCCGCAGTCGCGGTAGATCTTCTGCCACGCTCGGAAACGATTGATCCTCCGTCGCCACCCATCAGCACCATCTGGGCCATGGTGCTGTCTCATATACTGAATCGCGGCGGTCGTCTCAGTAGGGAGACGAATACCTCCAGGAAAGATATTCTGCATAACGATAGGATCTTCCAAGATCTTTCGCGATGGTGGATGGCAAGGATCGTCGTCCTCTGAGGGGTCATAGTACGGAACCCATTCCAGGCTTTGAAACTTTGCAATAATCTCATCAAGCACGGTCTCAACTGGCCGTCTAGGTGCTTTCTCCCATTCGTTGCGGTCAGGTCCAACTGAAGACCACTCAATAATCGTTTCTGTATTCGGTGAATGTTCAAACTATCGGTTCGCAAACGATTAACATACGGTCCTGTGTATCATAGATCAAGTCAGTACCGTAGTGACCGCTATACATATCACCACTCGTCAACCTCAGCATATGAGGCGGTAGTAGCTTGGTATCCTCGTCATGATACCTTTCACCCCACCGCAGATCCTCGACGAAATCTGTGTCACCAGAGTCCGCGAAATATGTTACGGCTTTTGAACGGGGGATCAACTCGACGCCGAACCACTGCCACGATTCGACAATGTCGCTGCGCAATGCAGGGATTGATCTTATCAAATGAATGACCTCAGAATCCAGGCCTATCTTCTCGAAGATGGAAGTTGCGACGGTCTCGGAAGAGTGAGGTGGGCGAATGATATCAGATGGAGATATGTAGCGCATCGTGACGAAGAGATCGAGAAGCTTCGTCAGGCGGGAGATGAAGCCCGCGTGCTTCTCAGCGATGGCCTCCATTGCCGCGAGTGTTGTGGGAATGATGACGACCTGGTGGTGATGGATGGTTCTAAGGGCCAGGGGTCGTGCGCGTACCTAGGTAGCTTCGCGATCCAATCACCAGACGCGCGACCGCGACGAACAACCTCAGGCTAGCCTTCACCACCACTCAGACGAGCGGCATCGCCAACGAACCTCTCCCCAGCTACACCCACGGTCGAAGTTCGCTACTGTACGACCCTAACACGACTCTTTTAGCATATACTGGTGTGCGCGCACCAGAGCCATCTCGCCGACACGACGGCATTGATCGCCTTCGAGATTCAGACACCGCCTACGCTCACGTAACCCTGCGAAGGCTACCGCGACTTCACGATCCTCTCAATTGCCAGACGCATCTGAACAAATCGGCAAGATGGTCGGAAAGAAATCGGGCAGAGCCCAATTGAGGGAAGAGGGTACGGCATCGGGATACTACAGCGCAAACATGGCAACTAACAAGCCTGCAGGTCTGGAGCGAACGGACAACAACATGGACCTCACGACATGGCCCCAGGTTGGCATGATCAACCAAAAGAACTACTACACCGAGTTCCTCAAGCGCGACGAACAGTTCCTCGCCGTACGATACCCCAAGGATGAAGAGAGGGCGCGCATAGTACAAGAAGCCAGGGATAAGGATCGCGCACGCGCGTTGGGAGTACCAGCAACGGAAGGAGCGACACCACAGGTTGCGGACGAGACAATGGAAGATGCTGAGGTCTCCTTCGCATCAAGAACCGACATCTCCAAGCTCATCGTGATACATCCTGGCAGCCAGAACTTGAGGATAGGCCTTGGATCGGACGCGCTGCCGAAGACTGTGCCTATGGTCATCGCGCGCAAATGGAAGGAGAGTGAGGACGAGGAGGATGAGGGAGAGCCTAGCCCCAAGCGGATGAAGGTCGAAGGTGCCGTGCCCGCCGATGCGCTGCCCGAGAAGTGGTTCGGAGAGGATGTGAGTATTTGAGTGTTGATTGCACGGGCGGTGCTAACTTGCGACCAGTTTGCCGACCAGTACATGGCCATGTCATCCGAACTTAGGACGAGGATGCGTTCCAATAAGCGACGAGTGCTACCCAACTCGAAAGACCTCGTAATCAACTTCAACCGAAAATCACCCCCAGACATCATCTCCGAACACAATGACATCAACCGTATCGAGTGGACAGAACTACCTGCAGATCCCAAGAAGGCACCGGACTTCTTCACTGGGCACGATGCGCTACGGATACCCGAGAGATCCAACCCACGATACAAGCTGTTCTGGCCGATACGGAACGGCACGTTCAATGAGAAGGACTATCGCGACCGTAATCAGATCTACCATGATCTCTCCAAGATATTAGAAGAGGCTTTCCGGAATCAACTTGGTATTACCAGGTTAAAAGACCTTGTCAACTACAAGTGCGTCTTTATCATACCAGACCTCTACGAGCGACAATACGTCACAATGATATTGGACATCCTCATGCGGGATCTTGGCCTTGGAAAGGTCTGTCTGCAGCAAGAATCGCTTTCGGCTACTTTCGGTGCTGGCTACGGTGTTGCCTGCGTAGTCGATATCGGTGCTCAGAAGACATCAATCTGTTGCGTTGACGAGGGCCTTTGTGCCGAGGAGTCCCGTGTCAATCTCAAGATGGGCGGAGCTGATGTGACGGAAACCTTCATCAAGATGATGCTTTACGGGCATTTCCCGTATGCCGACATGAACCTAAAGCGGAGATACGACTTCCTGCTTGCCGAGGAGCTGAAGCAGAAATTCTGCTCTATGGATGAGGGCTCGGTCACGGTACAAACGTGGGACTTCCATCTTCGCGCTTCGGGCCAAGACACGCGGAAGTACACTTTCAAGACGTACGACGAGACTATGCTCTCTGTCATGGTTAGTAACTCAATAATCATGTAAGATGGACCCTGCTAACGAATTCAGGGTTTCTTCAAGCCCTCAATCTTCGAGAACGCGCGGAAACTTGAGAACAGGAGGAAGGTCGTGCCACGCTCAGTCGACCTCTACGACGGCTCACCCAACGACCCCATCTCGCAAGCACAAATCGCCATCATCGAGGCCGCAGCCGGTAAACCCGTCGTACCCACCATCAACGGCGCGCCAGAAGCCGTGAACAACACAGCACCTGCCTCAACCCCCCAGCGCCCCCAGCCAAACCCCTTCAACCTTCTCGGCCGCCTCAACGACAACGAAGGCACACCCCGCTCCTCCGTCGCAGGCTCCCCCGGCCCCGAAGGCAGCAACACGCCCAACCCCGACCGCGACACCCCCATGGGCGACACAGACGGCGCCCCGCTCCTCTTCCGCGACCCGATCCACGAAAAGACCAAGCTAGCCGAAGCCCGCGACGCCATCCTCCCCATCCACTCCCTCGACGCCGCGATCCTCGAATCCCTCTCCCAAGGCGCCCGCGGCGACGACCGCAAACTGCGCGACTTCTTCGGCGGCATCATGCTCGTTGGCGGCGCGTCCAAAACACCCGGTCTACGCGAGTTCCTCGAGATGCGACTCCGTGAGTTGCGACCGGGCTACGGTAAAGAGATTCTAGTGGGGCCACCGCCAAGGGACTTTGATCCGCAGGTTGTGGCGTGGAAGGGGGGGAGTGTGTTTGGGAGGTTGAGTGGGCATGGGAATGATGGCTGGATTAGTCGGTATGAGTATGATATGTTGGGGGCGAGGCTGTTGAATAATAAGTGCATGTTTGCTTGGTAGGATGGAGTGAATAGGGATGCTGTTGATAGGTCTCGCAAGGAAGGTCGAGATGTTTGATCTGTTGGAGGGTGGGTGTTTAGATGGGTGGGTTATTGGGTATTGTTAGAGCAGCATCGGGTTGGTGTGGGATGGTGAGAGTAGACATTCGGTTCATGGGTTCATCCTGGTGGGTTCACCGAGGGTGGTATTTCTTGTCGAATAACAATGTGTTATGAACACAGCTTCCTCAATAGTCTGCTTATGGTTGTTCCCAAGTCACTACAGCGATGTTCTTGACTACATGGATATAGCTTGTAAGCCGTGATTGTATTTCGTCTCATATCGCATACACTAACGTAACAACAGATGAGAGTCAGACCGCTTCACCGTGTGACTGTCACATCCTGCTCCTGTCATTGCGCCGGCATAGCCGTGGCACCATCTTGCGTATGCATCGCACACACTCACTCCCGAAAACCCTCTTACGTGTGGAAGCCACCAGCTTACAATAAGACATCGGCAGGCTCGCAGACCTTCTTGTGAATCTTCCAGTGCTTCTTCTGGCACTCAGTGGAGCAATACTTGCGGTTCTTGCACTTGGCACAAGCAAGCAGGGCGTCACCTCCAGCTTTAGCCTTGACGCCACATCCGCCGCACAGGTCCGGCTTGTTGAACTGCTCGCGGAGCTCCTTGACGACAAGCGAAGTTGATGAATCTGTCATACCAGTGCTGAAGAGACCTCCTGGGCCAGGAACATTCATCATCTGGAAGCCCGTTCCGTTATCGGGCTCAGAGGGTCTAGCGTTGGCCTCTTCGGTGATGCTCTTGGATTTGAAGTCGTAAGGAACTCCGTTCTTGTAGCCGTTCGGACCGAAGAGCGCCTTCTTCATCTGGCCCTGCGCAGCAGGCATGAGACCGCCTTCGGTGTAGACCTTCTTTAGCATGGTGATGTAGGGGGCTGGGAGCTTGCATCCGAGTGTCATGGCACAAGCACCGAGCAGGACGTAGACGTATGTGGGATCCGGTCCCCAACTTCCGAACCACTTCTCCTTGAGGCCGACAGGACCAGCGAGCATCTTCGCCTCCTTCATAGCGATCATGTCGACGAGGATACCGGAGTCGAGGTGGTTGCGGATGATTTTGGGGTGAGAGCAGTAGGGGGCGTAGGTGCTGTATGCACAGCAGCGTCCTGCTTCTTCCTCAGACTTGCCTTGAGCTCGAGCCCTAGCCTGAGCGGCTTCCATGAGCGGAAAGAGACCGGCTTCAGTATCGAGAGCTTCGACGATTTCGAAGTCGTGGTCTGACTGGAAGAGACCTGGCATGGTGTTAGTCGATGAGTTGCTCGATTGAAGTATGCTTGCCACTTACAGTATCCCCAGGCACCCATCTTGGATATTCAGTGCTTGTAGTAGTTGAGTACAGTAGTGGAAGATGAGCGGTTGATGGAAGCAAGCAGTCAATGTGGACTACTGCGGATGACAGTTGACGGTGCTGAGCTTTGCTGTGGAAGGTGAGTGGTGAAGTGAAAACAGGAGAACGCGATATGAGATCAGAGAAGGGTACGCATCGCGTCACACGTCATATGCGAGGCCAGGCTGCAATGTTGGCTGTTGGAGAAGGAGCGAGGACGCGTGTTCCCGTGACCCAGGCGCCTTTCTCAAATATTGTTATCGCGACCTCAAGCAGCAAAATGGGGCACTTCGTGATTCAATCCCACCTATCACATCTGTGAAGACTGGCAGCCTGATGTCCGCAAAAGCGCCGTGGGTGAAAAGGCTTCCTCCGCCAGGCCTCCGGTGCGAATACATGATCTGACCAAACTCCAGCTTAGAGGGGATCTAGCTTTCCTGCGCGTCGATGATCAACATCATCTATCGATGCGTGGGAGTATTCCAAACGCTCGCCAGCGACATCAGTACTATGCAATGTTTCGAGAGTTGTATAATTCTGATGAGGCAAGTTCCATATATTGGGACGCATACCTACATAACTCCCATTGAACAAGAACAGACATGATGAGCTACAAAGCGCGGGCGTGGCTGCTGTTCTATCCACATCTGAGCTACGCTTAAGCTCTTCAGATATCTGAGAATATGCGCAGACGCTGTCATGTCTTTTGGACCCTGAGCCGTTACGGGTTATCCACCAATGCCGTAGGCAAGACCTCACCTCACCGTTCCTCACACTGTCTTTGAGGTACCGGCGTCTTCACCTTCACCGTATCACCATGAGATCACGAGCATTCAATCGGCTAGCAGACGCTGGCTCCCTCTGCTCACGGCTTGACGTTGCTCTCCCCATCAACCACTAACTCACGACGCAACGGGGTAACCTCCAAGTAAGTCACATCCCGGGTGACAGTTATCAGACGCTTGCTAATTCTTTCAGAGTGTCGCCAAAGCGATATCCGATGACGGTCACCCAAGCTCGCGGCATAGCCAACAAGGCCAAGAAGCATGCGCCTATCTTGCAAGTAGTCCATACTCTTACCTTGGCCGCACAAACTAACGAATGCAGATTTGGCGGCAGGCTTCTGCGCCTCCAGGTAGGCCCGCAACGTCGCAACTTCTCGGCACACGAAGACATGTTGTGCATGCGATCCAAGGTCTTTAAAGACCGTTTCCAACCCGCACGCAAAGACGTTGAAGGCGAGTGTGTCATCTGCCACGAAGATCTGGATGCAGCGGTCAAGACCCTTACATACTGCAAGACTTGTGGGAACAATCTGCATCAAGACTGCATGGAACAGTGGAACAATACCAACAGTACCTGTCCTACCTGTCGCGCTGCATGGGTCAAGACGCCTTTCATCAACACGTTCAATCTCGATGATACAGACGCCGACGGATTCGATATATACGTTCAATGGCTCTACGGACGTAGTATCCCGACGTACCTGGCAGACAACGGAGATGTACGAGCCCGTTGCAGGAGGCTAGTAAAGGCGCACATTGTAGGGGAGAACATCGGCGATGCAGCTTTCGTGGAAGCGGTACGACGTGAGATCATTGGAAACAGCCTGGCAGAGACGAACAGTATATCAGTCTACACTCTCAACGTAGTGTACAGACTTACGGCCGGACCCTGCGCTCTTCGAAGCTTCATGATCGAACTATGCGTCCTTCATCGCAACCGTGGCAATTGGTTTGCTCAAGCTGAGAAGTTGTCGCGCCCCGCTCTGATCGACTTCACGGCACGCTTGATGAAAGATACAGAGCAGCAAGATACCCAGCAGATCTGGAACTCCATGGTGGTGGCGGGATACATTAAGCTAGAAGTCTAGGGGTGACAGAAGCATAGGAACCGACTGAGCAGTTCTGGATAACGAGGGCTTTTCGTGAGCAAGATGTCTGGAGCTTCATGAGCGATGAAGGATATATTGGACAGGACAAGGCAGATAATGACGAGGTCGATGACACCAATGGAGACGAGAGCTTGGCCAGTTGAGCAGGGGAGTATCGATCTCGCTTCGCATGGTCGTTTATGATGGTTTGGGGACATTCGAGCAATGAAGGCAAGACACTCCCGCAGCCTGGAGAACCTGGGCTGTCAAGCAGATGCGGCTCATATTCTAGGACAGTCAAAGAATATTTGAAAGGGATCAAACTTACGTGCCACACGCATTCGTCCATTCTTCGTCGAGCTCATCGCGGGTTACACGGTAAGGTCGGCAAAGTATGAGCCACATGTAGAATCTATTCAGTCCTCGTAGTGGTGTACTCGCAAGCGCGCACAGGATGAAGTATAGCAACCACACGCACGCTCCAAACAGGTAGAAACATCGCGCTTTCCAAAGTCTCGAAATGTGTCCTGTCGTCTCTGCCAAGCCGCTCGCATCCCACTCCCGAACTCGCATCCCTCACCCAAACCAGGTTAGTCATCAAACCACCGAAGAACCACCAGGTTCCTGCATGCCACTAAACCAAACCCGGCATTGTAAACTTCATCAATCACCCACCACCACCCAATACAACCAATCACAGCCACTACGCAGATGTGCGCACGACGCCCGAGGAATCCGGGTCGGAGGGTATGGCACGACCGTCTCGCCGTTACGCACGTTTCTTTTTGCCGATGATGGGGCTGAAAGGCGCGAGAACCACGTTAGAACCACGTTTTCTCTTCTAGCAAGCATGCAAGGCGCAGGTGGCCCTGCGTTTTTTAGGCTGACAGGCGGTACTGGTGTATTCGGTATGTTCCGGATGGGAACGTGGGTGGAGGTACATATACGAGGCTATGGCACTTTAAGGTAGTGAACGAACCAATTCGTTAATTTCATCTTTCCGACCTGCAGTTGTGTGTGGGGGTATTCAACTACCAGGACGCTACGATGGCAGCTACCAGCACCCCACCAGAAAAGGAACCGCACATATCCTCCCAACCCATCACCTGGACGAACTGGTACAAGAAGATAAATTGGCTCAACACAACCCTCGTCATCCTGATCCCAAGCTACGGTCTCTACCTCGCCCGCTCCACACCCCTCACCCTCCCAACGTTTCTATGGAGTATTCTCTACTACGCCACAACCGCCTTCGGTATCACAGGCGGATACCATAGGCTGTGGAGCCACAGATGCTATTCCGCACGCCTTCCCCTACGCTTATTCCTCGCGTTTACAGGAGCAGGAGCGATTCAGGGAAGCATACGGTGGTGGAGCGCTAATCACCGTGCTCACCACCGGTGGACGGACACGATGAAAGATCCCTACTCGGTTATGCGCGGACTCTTATTCTCGCACATCGGATGGATGGTGTTGAACAACGATCCGAAAGTCAAAGGGCGGACGGACATCTCTGATCTCGATAGCGATCCCATTGTTGTGTTCCAACACAAGCATTACGGCAAACTGCTTTTGTTTACAGCCTGGATCTTTCCTGGCATGGTCGCTGGACTGGGATGGGGCGATTATTGGGGTGGCTTTGTGTATGCGGGGATTATACGGGCGTGTTTCGTACAACAGGCTACGTTTTGTGTGAATAGTCTCGCGCATTGGATTGGCGAGCAGCCGTTTGATGATCGGAGGAGTCCGAGAGATCATGTGTTCACTGCGCTGGTGACGATGGGGGAGGGGTATCATAACTTTCATCATGAGTTTCCGTCTGATTACCGTAAGTTGCTAATTCTCTTGAACTATGAGAGCCATGATGATGCTGATGCTAGAAAGGGAATGCGATTGCTTGGTACCAGTACGATCCTACGAAGTGGCTTATCTGGATCATGTCGAAGATTCCGGTCTTTCCTCTAACATACGACTTGAAGACTTTCCGCTCGAATGAGATTGAGAAAGGTCGACTCCAGCAGCAACAAAAAGCTCTCGACAAGAAGCGATCGATGCTCGATTGGGGTGTGCCACTCGCTCAGTTGCCGGTGATTAGTTGGGACGACTTCCAGACTCAGGCTTCAGCCAAGGGTGCTGCTTTAGTCACTATTGCTGGAGTGATACACGACGTTTCGCCATTCATCGCTGATCATCCGGGGGGTAAGACGCTCATTAAGAGTGCGATTGGGAAGGATGCCACTGCGATGTTCAACGGTGGGGTGTATGAACACTCGAACGCGGCACATAATTTGCTGTCGACAATGCGTGTTGGCATATTGCGAGGCGGACAGGAAGTTGAAGTTTGGAAAACAGGTGGTGAGAAAGACACCAGAGACACCAAAGGGCTCGGTGTTGTCAGGGCTGGTGATCAGATTACAAGGGTAGCTGCGCCAGCTACTGCGGCCACAGCAGCCTGAACAATATGAAGTCGGGGTATTGAATGTTTCATTTCAAACACATAACTTTGGTGTCGCACATGATCCTCATCTTATTTGCCCGAAGGCACCTCCTCCCACTGCACTCCGACCCATTCCTCCACATATCCAACTTCTCCTTCTTGAACATCGTTTGGCTTGCAGTCTTTGCTGCATACAGCCATGATGATAGTGCCCCATTCCATACCGTCAAGGCTCATTTCATCAGCTTCTAGCTCAGTGATCGCATGCGGTGTCAGCTGAACCTCGAAGACCCTGTCTGCGCCACAGGTCGAACAGCGAGGGAACCCAGCCCCACTCCGTGAGCCTGCTGTCTTGACTTTTGCATTCGACGAGGAACCGTTCTCCGAATGTGGACCTAGAAGCTTGCCGATAGCATCGTTGTCGCTGTACAGGAGCGGCTTGCCTTTGTACTCATATCGTAGCACCTGCTCTGCATTCTCTCCGATGCGATCTGCAAACTTCTGGAACGTCCTGTCCATGGACGACTCAAACACCTCCTTGTCTTCTTTGCCACCACCGCTGCCGCTTCCTTCATTGTCTGTGTCCATCCGTACGTTCGCTGGGATCGAGGGTGTTGAAGGGGCGTCTAATGTTTCGTATTCGGCGTCAAGGTGATATTGAGGGAATGGCGTAGGAAAGGCTGAGTCTGCTGGCCATGGCTCATGCGGACGCGGGGGTTGTTGTTCGGAGGGAGGTGGTGACGAGAGACGAACTTTGGACGCGAACGTCTCGGGGAGGGTCGTAGAGGCTTCGTCTTTCTTCTCTTGGGGCTCGCTGACTTGCACTGCGGGCGTGGGACTCGATGCGCCGAAGGGATTGGCACCTGGTTTGGAGAAGGGGTTTGATGATGCTGCGCCATTCGGGTTGGACGAAAACGGGTTCGAGAAGGGATTCGCGGATGTCGATGCGCCTGTCCCGTTCTTCACTCCGAACAGCGACTCGCCAATCTTGGGCTGCGGCTTCTCTTCTTTGACTTCCTTCTTCTCAAGTTTGGGGGCGCTGGCCTTATTGTTGGCGCCTTTTGCGATGCGCACTCCGCGTATGCCCCTTACACTGCCCTCCTTTCTTCTACACGGCTTGCGCCGACATGTCCAGATGTAAAGTCGCCGCTCGTGGCCAGGAAAGTTGTCGGGAAGATCGCCGTTAAGTTCGAGGAGGAGGCTGAGGTAGCCATTGCAGACTTTACATTTTGCTAAGGCGCCAGAAGGGGCTGTCTTCTCGTCTATCCAGCTCTACTATGATCGTCAGAAAGACGCTCGGCGTGGTTGATGCTGTGCGTACCGGTGCGCCTCCAATGTGGGAAATCGCGTCGCCCGTTGCTTCCCTCGCCGCATATCCTAGCAGAACATTCGTCTCGGTGTAGTCGCCTCCATCGTCCGAGGAATCACTGTCATAGGGCGCCATTCTGGTTGTTCATGTGTATATTTCCACAGGTGATTGTTTGGCGGGGTCTAACTTTTTTGAATATGACGCGGGGCTGCTCGGTGGCCAATGCGCCTTTTGTCGCACTGAGCGAATTTGACCAAGCCTGCAACACCAACTCTTCGTCGCTCATCCACACAACCACCATGGGCGCCCCTTTCGACTTCGCGCCTGAGCGGCCGGATCACATGCAGCAGATCCTCGATGGACTGGATCGCTACAACCCAGAGACGACGGGTGTCTTCCAGGACTATGTCATGCAGCAGTGCGAGAACCAGACGTACGACTGCTACGCCAACCTCGCCCTGTTGAAGCTGTACGTGTCCCCCCTACTCTTCCTTCCATGCTACAAGATGAATAAACAACCACAACGTTTCCTATTACCCGAGGGATGGAGCACGAATCACTCCCCCGCTGAAGTTTATTATTAGCTCTATCTGACAGCTTTCTCCTGACTACCATTGTACCTCAAGCATCATCGTTTCATCTGCTAACCACGATGCTCCAGCTACCAATTCAACCCACACCTTGCCCGTGACGAGACCATCACCAACATTCTCGTCAAGGCTCTCACCGTCTTCCCCAGCCCCGACTTCTCCCTGGGCCTCTCCCTCCTCCCTCCACACGTCCTCGCTCCTCTTTCATCTTCATTACACAACCCAGCTGCTGGCGACGCGCCGCTATCAGAAGCTGTCCAGAAGCTCAACGAGCTGAGGAACCTGCTCGAGGGTGCCGACTACTCTACCTTCTGGTCCACACTAGACTCCGACGACCTGTACGCCGACTTGATTGCCGATGTCTCAGGTTTCGAGGAGCTGATGCGCGTACGCATCGCTGCAACCGTCAGCCAGGCGGTGCGCGAGGTCGACCGCAGCATTCTCGAGTCGTGGTTGAACCTCTCTGGCAGCGAGTTCGACAACTTCGTCGGAAGCGTTTGCGGGTGGAACATTGACGGTGCCAAGATCAAGGTACCCATCAACAAGGACAACGAGGCTAAGGGCACCGTTGTCCGTGAGAACGTCAAGTTCGATCGTAAGTACACCAGCACCACAAACGTCGAGTCGCTGCTAACAAGCCTATCAGAATTCGCAAGGGTCATCAAGAGGGCATATGAACAGCCCGCATGAGCGACACGATTTATAGTATGACGACATGAGGCTACGGTTTGCACGGTCGGCGTTTGAGGCGGACATTACAACTGCATCAGCATGCGACAGAAGCGTACCAGCCAGTCTTCGACAACCGCACAGGTTGACTTCGATGGCTCGCTATATACCCCAAAAGTACGCCGCTATGAGCAGGGCCCAGGAGCATGAAATCTCCATGGGCTAACAAACATCCAATGACATAAATCCGACATAGTTCAGACAAAGTTCACTGCTCCTCCTTTCCTTCTTTCGCAATCTAGATCTCCTTTTCGTTTCGCTTCTAACAACCCAGTCCCTGTCAGAAAACGGTGGATGACGGTCCTATAGGCTCGGAGAATCCTGACCTAAGCTTCTCACACTCGCCAATAATCAGCCGCATGTCTATCATTCGTTATTAAATGTCCGACATCTGGAGCAACTTCTGGCTTGTAACATGGCGCGACAGTCGAATTGAATCGTACTGCGATAGGGAGTGGTGCCAAGTCGATGCGCAACGGCCCCGTGAATTTCGCTTATGTGTACGCCACGTTTGCCTCTTACCAACCGTCCAACCCTGTCAACAACAACACCAAGGACAGCTTCTACGTGTTTACCATTGCGCATTCCAGTCGATAACAATGTGGCGCGGCGGGTTAGCTCCTTTCGATCAGGTTTTGACCCTGACAGCTGAAGCTTGTTCGACATGATCACAGCCTGGAGTGTGCTTTTTGCGTTGAACTATGCAACGCGAGTCTGCGATTGTATATGGTTATGGTAGGGGTCGATGTCTTTTGCGCATTCCTTACCTTTACCTTACCTTCACCTTCACCTTCACTTTCGTTCGTTGCGCTTCGAGAGAGCCGGAGTCCACATTCCTACTGTATCTACCAGTAACATTGCGAGCTCACATGCCCGTCCACGTCACACACAACATATACGAAATCTCCATATCACGGTCTGAAGACCGATCCTACCGACTTGGAACAATTCAGGTCCAAGTGCGCTGGTAGCAACCTCTAGCTCACGTCACACGCGGCTTCTCATCAGGTGTCACTCGTGACCGCCTCGGCTCAGCTGCTTCACCTTACACGGAGCTGAACATTCCATCAGTTTTGATCACATTCAAAAAGCGATTGAAAGTCTGCAAAATCGCCCAGTTGTACGGCCTTACCAAACATCGACAATACGTCATCATGTCTCTCCGGGAATTCTTACTCTTTATTGTGTGCGCCATTCTCACCTTCGCGACCGCGCAAGCCAGTCCACTATCATCACCGCAGCAAGCGCCTTCTACCAAGCGCTGCACGAATGCCGTTGCCAATCCCTCATTCGAGATCCCTGTGCTGTCTCCGTGGATGGATATGGTGACCGGTTCGTGGTACTCGCGCGGGATATCCACCTCCCCTACAGGCGGACACTCCGGCAGTAATCTCTACGCCGCGACATCGCATAGCTCAGCGGTCCAAGCTACACTCACGTTATCGCAATCCTACATTGATCTTCCTGTCGGTGCGACGGTCGATTGCTACGCATGGGTTACCGGAAGGAGACCGAATGGGCAAACGCGCGTTGAGATCTTCCTGGATCAAGTCAGCTGTGGAGAAGCAGTTCATATGGGGGCTGGAAAAGAAGGCTGGACGAAGGTTGGAGGCAAAGTTCGAGTGCAAGATGTACCTGGAGGCGTTGGACATTCGGTTGCCGTCAGTGTGCAGGGCGATGGTGTTGAGGATGAGCAAGGCTGGAGAGTGGCTGTTGACGATGTTGGCGTGATGGTCGGATGCTAGATGAGCGGAAATGAGTGGCATGATTCAAGTGATCAGGTCAGGCTGGGTAGAGAAAAGCCGTGTCAGCTGGAGATTGTCCAAGGGCTAAGACAAATAAAAGTGTCCAACAAAGAGCTGTCACTGTCGAGTGAACTTGATCTACCAGGGACAAGGAGAAAGATACGGAGCTACGATATCCACAGAGGCGAGACCGAGTATCTTACTAAAAGACTTCGCGCTAGCGGTCGTATTTGGCAGCTGCAGTACTCTACCCAGAAGCATTAACTATCCCCCGATCGTCGATCAACCGCGATCTTCAAACACTTCAATCACTCCGGTTCCTTCAATCCAATCTCCGCCGCCATCCGGTCACAGAACTCGGCCATGTCCACATCCTTGATACTCAGTCCCTCGGGCTTATGCGTAGTCCACTCAATCTCAACCCTATTATACAAATTCGACCAACTCGGATGATGTCTTTGAACCTTGCACTCATCCGCAACGAGCGACATGAACCGCCAAGCCTTTGCGAAACTGGTAAATGTGAAGGTCCGCGTGATACTCTTCCTCGAAGCGTTGATTTGCCATGCAGGAGAGAGGCTGGACACTCGTTCGGGCAAGTCAGTGGGTTGGTTGGCCGCGTAGATCATGTCATATGCTGCATCTT